TTCATCTAGCCAAAAAATCTTTTTCCATTGCATTAGAAAACAGGCTAAAAAAATGGTGGGGCAAGAAGCTTGCAGAGTTGACTCAGGTTTGTCTATTTTCTACTGCACTAAAAAAAGTGGAGGTAGGGAATCCAATTTAGCCAAGCCAGGGTTACAAACCATTCATATATAAGGAGGTCTGGAATAAAATGTGAAGTTTAGAAGGAACAGCATCTTCTCTTTCTGCCAATCATTATACTCAGTGTGCCTTGCACACATAAAATCAGGACACCACATCCAGTAATAAGTCAAGGTACAGGATAACTAGAATTAGAAATGGAAATTGCAAAATTCATGTTGGTTTACTTCTCTGCCTAATCAAGATTAACTGAAGAGAATTTTAACTCAGTAGAATTCTAAGCCTTGAAAGTAGAATCAGAATAAAGGTGTGGAAAGAAACAAAAATTCTAGAAATGGATAATGTGGAGAGCAAGGATACATTTCCTATGTGCAACTACAACCTGATACTGTTCAAAAACCTTACTAAATTCATTTCCACAAAAATGCATAAAGGGCTGCAATGATTAGTAATCCTTTTTCTATCCTGACAAGGAAAAAATGGGGTCGTAGCTGAATTAGGACTGAGATGAAATAGGTAGCTGAAGGTGGGGGCGGGGGCGGGAAATCAGGTTTGACTGCAAACTAAGATCAATGTCATAAAAGAAGAAAAAAACAAACGATAGTCAAAAATCTTCACATGTCCATTTGAGAAGGACAACCTTACTTTATGATCATATTTCCAAACAAATCCCAACTATTTGGACTAATTGCCACATCAGCTTTCAGTCAAGATAGAAATATGATACAACTTGGAGAATTTCAGCAATAATGAATCTCCCCATGAAACAGGCAAAACAGCTTAAGTTTTTAGAAGAAACTCAGAGGGCTAGCTATCCCAAATGCATCTGTGTGGCTTGATCTGAGCTGTAACTCCACAAAACTATTATTTTTTTCATTGATTTGCTGAATTGTTTAGGGGGAGCTGTTGGAACTCTACTTAATCTTACCAAAGGATTAAGATATGAATGACTGTATCTTCTCTAAATCATTTTTTGAAATCTCTGGATGAAAATTATTGTGTAAAAGCTGCAACCCTATAGTAGGAAAAATCCAACCCATAATGTGATTCTGCTCCAAGTTGCAAATGTGGTTTTAAATTTAAATAAAAGTAAGCCTATGCTGTGTTGAAAGATGCACTTGATCCCACTTTCTGCCTTTTCAGGGCACATTGCTTCTCTACTCTGATTAAAGCTTTCCTGCCAACCTTTTTTGGCAAAATTTTCACAGTGAGGTTGCATTTCCATTCTTTGAGAGTAGCGGCTGTACTATAGAAATATCTGAAGATGTAAGCAGTTTGACACAAAGGAATCACATAAGGGTTCTGATCTTCATTGAAGGTTTTGAAATTCAAGCAAAACTAGACCAGCATACACAGGGCGAGATAATAGCCTTTATGATTTGCATGGAAACCTATTTAACAATGGCAGGGAGCTACAAGGTACTTCTGTTTGCTAGTCTAGTTAAAATCGCATCTGAAAGTGGGGAAGTATTTCTGTACTTACATTTTCAGTATATGTTTCTTGAATCCATGCCCAATATAATATTTTAAATGGTATATTATTAATAGAGTGCCATTTTTATTATTGGCTGGTCTAAAATCCAAACAAGGCTTATGCAGATAAGACTGGATATATTTCAGATTCAAACAGCAATTTGAAAGTATCACAGATTGTATTATATCTGTTTCCTCGGCTATTTCACACCCTTTTTGCCAATTCCTCTTTGGACTAATTCACAAGTTTGCACCCAAATGAACTATAGGACTCTTGGCTCTCAACTGTTGACAGGACTCTGAGTTCTTAACATCTAACAGATTCGGTCATCCATGTATTTCAATAATTCTGCTTTTTCTATGGTAAAGTTTAGTTTACACTGTGGAATTATTTTGAGAAGGGTTGCTTTCCTCTTTTATACTTGAGGAAGAGTGTTTTAAGCCTCTCTTTTAACTAGGCCAGTTAACAGTCCTGGAGGGACATGGAGTAGTTTTAACTGTTGTTGTTTTTTTACCCTGTCTCAGCAAGCTAAGTACAGTCTTGGGATTGTGCATGATATACATTTTTAAAATAATATTTTAAAGAGTTATTCTTGTGCTTTGTGAAGTATGGGCAGTTGTGTAATGATAGAACACACTATCTGAGAACCTGTAGACCCATACTTGCTTTATTTATTTGGTTTCCAGCTTGCCCATTCATCAAATGACTCTGGGTGGAGAGAATTGAAAGCACCATGTTACCAGGGCAAAATAATAATTTTAAAAAATCCATTAACACATCCCAAGCAGGAAACAAATTCCAAGTACACATTATTAGGCAGATCTGCATCCTGGCTTAGTATCTGAAAGAAGAACCCAGTTGTCAGGATTATAACGATCTGAGGCAGGCCCAAAGACAAAGAAGGCACAACTCCAGGGCCCCATGAGATGGCATTGTTTTATTGGCAGGACTTGGATGATGCTTGCTTTGTCAGGTCTAGTAAGGTAGGCAGAGATTGTAGTAACTGGAATTATTAGAATGGTTCGTAAGTGCTATAATACACAGAATTTCTTGGCTCCTGTACACTGATGCTCAGAGACAGCCTCAGATAAATATAATAAGAAACCGTCTTATTAAGACAGATACTCTCCTATGAAATCATAAAGTAACCCAAAGTGACTCATGATTGATTAAAACATCTTTATGATGGGCTTGAAAGATTTCCAGGAACATTTTGCAGAAGTTTCCCGATTCTATAGTGACCAATTTGGATGCATTATCTATTACTTCCCTCCCTGCCATTAGCATTCCTAGCAGGGGTTACTATCCAACTTGCTCTTTACGTGTATATATAGCAATTAATTAATCATTCAGCTATAATTATCAAAATGAAGGTTATGCAGATTGATTCTGAAAGGGCTGAGCTTCATTGTTTATCTGAAATTTTGGACAGTTCCCAATTCAATCAAGGCTGGAAAAAATCCAGCTCTCTTCAGGCAGGTCAGCCCTAGGCTTTAAACCATAAGTATTTTCCTTCCGCAGTTACTAGTTGATGGACTGTGGGGTCTTCTCTCAACCTTCAATGTGCCAACTCAGTGTTTACATAATGGTTTCCTCTAGTTGGAGTGATACCAGTTCCTGGTTTTTCTAACTTAATGAACTCAAGGTAGCTTCCATGGAGACCTTCTTTCCTGTTATTCTCACAACAAAATATTATGAAGTAGACTGGGCTGAGAAATAGCTGGCCAAAGTTTCTCTGTAAGTTTCTATGGCTAGGAGTAAATTTGCACTCAGTCCTCCTCCAACCCCTTAACGGCTCTCTAGTTCTCCTATATGCTTTTCTCTCAGGGCACACTGATATAGGTATCTAATTGAGTAGATGTGAATAGGATTCTGCTGTATATGCTACATGAATTCCATATATTATTGTTGATTATAGAAGTGGCTTAGATGGGGAGATTCTTAAGAAATGCACCAAACAAGTCCTTCCCATTTGTTGACCCATCCTGCCTTGCAGCAGTTCTATTCTACAGGGTGATGTCAACTATTTTTCTGTGCAGTTCTTTGGCACTAATCATTTTTGGCTGTTTATCGCTAGAATGAGAAAAGTAGAGCAGTGCCTTAAATAGAACACACACTGATTGAGAGCAACATTTCTAATCAGCCCTTATGCTATCTTCTTTTAAAATACCTGAAAGCCAGAATAATATATTTACTGCTAGAGTCTAGATGTGGTTTAAAGTAACTACAATGCACTAGAAGGCTTCTTATTGAGAGAGGTGCCTAGAGCTTGTTTTGTAACCTAAAGTATGTTTTACCTATTAAAAGGATCCCAGGTAGCAAGGTTCAAGAGCTTAGCTAATTGCCTGCCACAACAGACAGTCTTGTCTAACAAGCTGTTGGTTAAAATACTTGCAATGCTTTTAGGGATATATGATGGGAAATAGGGAAGGGAAAACTTCAAAGATCTAATGGAATACACGGAATTATGTGAAACTATAAACATGTTTTTAAGTTCTCAGATGGCTGTCTTAATTTAAACAGAACAGTGGAAGCTGACTTCGTAAAGGCCATGATAGTTACAATGACTTACAGTTCTGCATCTATTTGAAAAAGAGTGTATTAGACTGCCATAGGGTGACAGACTGTAATCTACTGTCCCCCATGGAAAATTAATTCATTAATTTGGACCAGTCATTCTCTCAGCTCAACTTACCTCACAGGGTGATTGCTGGGGAGAGAAATTGAAAAACGCTGTATGCTGTCCTGAACTCCTATGGTGTAAAAGCACCCATTAACAATTTAGAAGTCTAATTTACTAACAGAATAGGTATGTGAATCAGTACATCTGAAAATGACGGTATAAGTGCAAAATTATGGGTTGCTATCAAAAAGTGCTGCAGATTTTTTTTTAGAAAAAGCTAAAGATTGGAATAGAAACCTGGCTGCTTTTAATCATCTCTTTGCAGGGCCATTGACACCCCTGACAGAAGACTAAGTCAAAGGCAAGATATGTTACCTACAGATCATAAAAGGGAGAAAGAGGTCAAAGCCTCTTAACAAAACCATCCCTGAAGGCGGCGGCGACCCCTACAAAAGCAGTCGATTAGAAGGACTCCGATCTGAGATGAGACTTGAACCCGGGCTTTCCCGATTGAAATAGTGCCCCCCCCCACTCGGTGGGACGCATCTTTGCTCCAACTCACTGTCCTTCTCCCCCCCCCCATGAATGAGCGCCTCCCATTCTTCGGCGGCGGACGGGCGTTCTGATTCTTTCTGCCACCTGTTTCCTCGCCCAACCCGAGCCGCTCACACGGCGCAGACTACAGCCCCCAGCATGCACCGCACGGCTCACTCTTCGGCTCCAGTACGGTATAGCAGGGTTTTTTTGTGGTTTTTTTTTTCCTTCCCCCATGGATTGCGCATGCTTAACCAGACGTGGCAGCAGCCGCTCGTTCTTCCAGCGCGAGCGGGAGCCGGAGCTTGAAGCCGGAGGTAGCTTGGGTTATGGCTCAGCCGGGGCGCAGCTTCAGTGGGGCTCCGGTCTGCGGAGGGAGAATGCTGCTGCTGCTGCTGTTTTCTCTCTTGGTAAGCATCCCCCTTCTGCGGGGGAGGGCTTCTCCTTTTGGGAGGGCGATCCTGGAAGGATGAAGCGGCGAGTTTTTCTGCGGGCGCTTAGCTTGGAACCCCGGGAGAACTGCTCGTGGGACAGTCGGGGGTGGGGGGTGGGATGCGGCTGTCGCCTGAGTGTCATCCAGAAGCAGCCGGCGCAAGTTAAGCGGGAGCTCCGGCAGCGCCAGAAGTTAAACTTCTTTGGCCTCGGGAGGCAGGGGCGGGGGAGGGTAACTCACCGGAGGCGCTGCGGTTGGCGCTTGCGAGGCTCTCTTGCACGGGAGAGAGTTGGCGGTGTGGTTCCCTCCGATAAACTCGGGCGCCCTTCCTGCTGAACGGCTCCCCAGGCTTTGCCTGTTTGCTTCCCGAGGACCAGTTCCTTAACGCACTTTCTTTATTGCGGGTTTTTTAAAAAAAAATATTTATTTAATTGGGAACCGGTGGAAGTCATCACCTATTCTCTGTGAGGTGGGATGCCTGTGGCAGTTCCAGGTGTTGGCTCTCAGTTGCATCTAGGGAAGAATCTCCTGCGTGTATTTTGCTCCTCTGCAAAACAAGACCCTTGGCGATGAAAGCAGAGGTCTACTCACCTCATAGTCAGGGGCTGTGCATGCAATTGTGTAATCGCTGGAAAGTAGTGTGTGGGTGGTGGTGGGGGGGATTTCCCTCGGTTAAATGTGCCTATAGCCTAAGGGTTAATTGTTGGAAATAGTGCTTCAAACCTGCTTCCAAGCAACAACAACAAAACCCACCAATATCCGGCTGCTTACATCCTATTCTGATGTGGGATTACTCAGCAGTAAATCCCACTTGGATGAACTCCCAGATACATAGAATTGCTTTTGGCTTGATCTTAATTATGTTTATTCAGAATTCTCACTCTATTGGGTTACGGTGTGGATTTAGCTTTTCATTTTATGTAAAACACCATTCTACAAATTCTGGTTAAAAATAACTAGTACTGTTTATGTAAGAACTGCAAGTATTTCCTTCAAAGAGGTTGAGGATGGAAGATTGACAGCTGAAATTTACATGGGTGCTTAGATTTGTGATCTTGTCTGCAATGTAACACATTTCTCAATATTTGTTTTCCACTTCCCTTGATTCTCTGGACTTTTTCCCTACCTCGGTCTCAAAACAGGAACACTTCATGAGTGTGTCTTTTTTCCCATTTCCTCTGTCATTTTGTAGACTTGTTTTTTTAATGTTTACTATTAATGCTTATTATTATTACAGTGAAGTAGAAGACTATCCTTCAACTATATCTGTTCTAGTTTTCCCTCCATTCAATTGTTAACCTCTGGATCCATAGGATAAAATGTAATTGACAATGTGAGCTTCAGGAGGCACTAAAATGAAAAGCAATTCTGGAGTTATGTCTATCCTCTCCCTTCTGTAAGATCGCTCTGTGCATTGTTACATTTCACATACAAGCTTTTTCACTGAAGGTTTTGGGATAATTGAGTTAGCTTTGAAGTTCTGAACATTGAGTAGAAAAGCTTTATCACTCCACATTGAGAGTTATGGAGGAAAAGTATGCATGCTTTAAATGCAGAGAACCTACCATAAACTGTTTAATCATACTAACTTTAAAATGGAGCTCTTTTTTGTAGTAGAATAAAAAGCTTTTAAAACTCTTAGTAGATTCTGTAAAAATCTGAACATGAACAATGAAAAGTGAATGCTTATATGAATTACAGAATAGAGCTAAACTTCCTTTAAACCTTGACAAATGGAATAAGTAACCTTTTAATTTTCTGACTTTTATTAAGTCAGAAGTATAGTTCCAACACAGAATGATGGACCGATAATCCACTATTCTGAATATTTCTGCCTTGCTTTCTCTCTCTCTTCAAGGGAGATTCACAATAGTGGACTGACTGGCCATCTTTGGAAAAGTAAAATTGGTTGATCTTCATTGATCCTTGTCTCAAATATGAGCTTTATCTGTTGATTTGAAAAGACAGAAATCCAAATGAAAACCTGTAAAATAGTCTTTAGAGTTGGTTAAATAGTGCTAAAGGCAACCAATACCTGCACTAATATTTCATTTCTTGGTAAAATACATTCCTCATGCAACTTCTAAGAATTATACCAAAACTCTTTATTGAAAGAAGACCCAAGTCGTGCAGATATACTACTGGAAGAGCACTGCAACTAGTTTTTTTTTTACAGATCATAGACACTTTTGCTAGATTCTTGGATGCAAATAGACCACAGATAGACAATTCTTCTAAGATGAGCAGGTGTAGATATAATTTCAGTTTCATTATCAACATCTTTTCTGAGAATTCCCCTGTGATGTTATTTGGATCCCATTTTTCAGCTTGTCTATTTACAGTCTGACTCCTCTTTCCTTCTGTGTTGTTTTGTTTGCATGTATGAAGCCATAGTTCGATTAATTTTAGTTGAATAAATTACAATGGTTCTCCCCTTTCTACTGCCCACAAATCTGATAATCCTACTTTTCTAGTCCCTCATCCCAATTAGTGATAAATACAGAGCAAGTGGTAGCTGTGAGTGTGACCAGGTAGCTGTTGCATGAGTTTATCTTGTGCACCAGTTGTAGTTTTTTTCTGACCAAAATGCTCTTAAGACAGTCACTCGTGCCCTAGTCACCTCATAAATGGACTATAATGTGCTTACATCTTGTTTCTCTTGAAGATCATGCTAGGTCCAAATGCAGCAGCATGAGCAGAAGTTAGTGTTTCTCATTATGCTCATGTCCATTTTGTTATTTTCACAAACAACTTAAGGTAGCAAAATATCCAGCAGACTTTTCTCCTCCCATGGGGTAGATTAAGCTGAGAGAGAGTGACTGGCCCAAAGTCCCAGTGGCTTTCATGGCTAAGGCAGAACTATACCTCATGGTTTCCTGCTTTCCAGCTTGGTGCCTTAACCACTAGACCTGCGATGGCGAGCATATGGTACGCGTGCCAGAGGTAGCACACAGAGCCCTCTCTGCTGCCATACACGCCGTTGCATCAAGTCAGGTCTCTGTGGCATTTCTTTCATGAGTTTCTATTTCCCTGCAAACGACAAAATAGAAGCCCACAAAAGAAAAAGATCTTTCCTCTTGGTGTGCTGATGGTGTTGAGATGCCCATCTCCTGCCGGCCTGCTGTGCATGCATGTACATGTCTGCGCACACATGTCCATGCACGCATGTTTGCGCATTTGGGCATGCACATGCATGTAGTTTGGGCACGGTGTCTAAAAGGTTTGCCATCGCTGCACTAAATCAAACTGGTTCTAGTATTTGCTTGTAGCATTTGCTGCTACACCAGCTGCATTGATTACCCATTTGCTTCTGGGTGCAATTCAAGGTGCTAGATATTAGATCTTCAAGGCACAGGGCCTATTACCAATTGTTTCTGTCCATCTACTGCATTCAGGCAGATGGGTATGCTTCAATCCCTTCAATTAGATGATGTTTTGTGGGACCGAGGAACCATGCCTTCTGTAGCAACAGCATCCCCTGGAGATATGCATGGATTCCACTCCCTAAGGGTTCCAGAAGTCCCTTAAGACATGGCTCTGTTCCCAGACCTGGAACTAGGGTGTCTGTGGAGCCTCTGTCAAGCCTTTTTTCCTCAGTGTTAGGACTGCTGTTTTGGTTCAGGGAGCTGTGTTGTTTTAGTCCTATTTCTCAAACCTTTGTATTAGACATGCTATAAGCTTCCCAAAAGGTTTTTGTGATGCTTTTTTTTTTTAATTGAGTGGCCTTGACAAATCTAATAAATAGTGAATAGTATAGGCAAGGGTGGGTTCCTACCGGCTGAACAAGTGGTTCAGTTATTAAGCAAATCACTACAGTTGTTAAGTGAATTAATCAGTCATTAAGCGAATCTGGCTTTCTCCATTGACTTTGCTTGTCAGAAGCTGGTTGGTAAGGTTACAAAAGGTGTTCACATGACCCCCAGGAATGTGCAACTGTCATAAATACATGCCAGTTGCCAAGTGCCTGAATTTTGATCATGTGACCATGGGGATGCCGTGACAGTTGTGTGAAAACTGATTATAAGTGACTTTTTTCAGTGCCACTGTAACATCAAACAGCCACTAAATGAATGGCCTAGTTTCCTTTTATCACTAACTCTTCTCAACATAATTGTTTTCCCAAGTGATTTCCCCACATGACATGGTCAAAAGAAGTGAAATGTAGCTTTGTGATTTTTCCTTCCAGTGACATATCTGATATTATGTGCTCTTGTACTTGCTTGTTGGTCATCTTTGCTATCTAAGGAACCTGTACTCTATACCAGTGTTCATATTTATAATGAACCCTCTTCCTTGGAAAGACAGGTAGTTTCTTGTTTTAAGTTCTTTAAAAGATAATTTTCAAGCATGCAATTTCTATTGCCCTTAGAATCTTTTGTTCAGTTTTGTACTTTCTGAAATCATATGGATAACTATTTGTTCCATATTGTATTCTTATATAAAATTTACATTGATTCAAGGGGTCTGTTTTTCAACAATACATGGGATTCCCCCCCTCTGATATTCTGAAATTTGAAAATTAGCTATATTACCTTGACACTATTTAGTCAACTATGCAATGAACTATAAAGCTGTTTCAGTCTGTTTTCGTATGAATAATAGTGATGCAAGTCCCATTCTTAAACATAAATAAATCTATTTCACTGTAGCAAAATAGTTTGAATATCATAGATCAAGGATTTCAGGACAGAAACATGTTCTAACTTCATATTTGCATTGAAAATATGTTCATTGTGACTTGTATTATAAATGCATGCATCCATGCAATTTTTTTTTAAAAAAAAACTGGCTAATTTGCAAAAAGGCAAACATTCTATAACCTTTGGAGGAATCCTATATATCTTTACTCATGCCTATTGTGCTAGCTATATTTATATGCACGTTTAAAAGTTTTTTCTTTATTTCATCGTGCTTATCTTGATGTTCTGTTAGTGGAGCTATCCATTGTTGCTTGCGTTTGACTGATTCGAGAAGATA